ATGTATGTATCCTTTATTCGTCCCCAATGGGGTTTGAAGGCGTTTTTTAGGAACGTACCCAAACCTTTACACTCCTCTACCTTCCTCTACATTTTCTATTCTTATTTAAACCCGACCTGGCCCTTTGCGACCTTACAAATATTCCTCCCTCCCCTTCCTCGTCCCACCATCTCCCTCCCACTTCCCCTCTCCCCACCTTCCCCTTTTCTCCCCTGTCTTCCCTCTTCTCTCCTTCCCGTCCTTCTTTCCCTTTCCGTTTCCTCTTTCCTATCCATATCCATTCTCTCCCTTCCATCCAGATCCTTTTGTTGCCTACTACCACGCTTCTTCCATACCCTCTTTCCATCTTCGCTTTTTCCACCATTCTCCATTTCCCCTCTTCTCTCTTCCTCTTCCTCCTTGCTCTCCTCCTTTGTCGCCTCCCTTACTCCTTCTACCTCTTCTCTCTTTCCTTTGTTCGGTCCCTACGAGATGGGGTGATATTCTCCTTTCTCTCCTCTTCCTGCTCTTCTTCGCTCTCCTTCTCTGTAGTCACTGTTGACCTTTTACCCTCTTCTTTCCTTCCTCTCTCTCTCTTTTCTCTCCATAGTCTTAATTCATTCCTTATTCCCCTCACTTCCTCTACCTGCTCCTTCATCAACTTCTCCATGTTCTCCGTCTTCTTCTTCCTTCAGTCTCTCCTCTCCTTTCGTTTCCTTCTCCTCTTCTCATCTTTCCAGATCCTTTTGTTGCCTACTACCACGCTTCTTCCGTATCCTCTTTCCATATTCGCTTTTTCCATCATTCTCCATTTCCCCTCTCCTCTCTTCCTCTTCCTCCTCGTTCTCCTCCTTTGTCGCCTCCCTTACTCCTTCTACCTCTTCTCTCTTTCCTTTGTTCGGTCCCTACGAGATGGGGTGATATTCTCCTTTCTCTCCTCTTCCTGCTCTTCTTCGCTCTCCTTCTCTGTAGTCACTGTTGACCTTTTACCCTCTTCTTTCCTTCCTCTCTCCCTCTTTTCTCTCTATAGTCTTAATTCATTCCTTATTCCCCTCACTTCCTCCACCCGCTCCTTCATCCACTTCTCCATGTTCTCCGTCTTCTTCTTCCTTCAGTCTCTCCTCTCCTTTCGTTTCCTTCTCCTCTTCTCACCTTTTTACACTCTTACTTCTTCCGCCTCCCTGCACTTTAACCTATTAAGTTCTACTGTCCGTTTCCTCTCCCTAACCTAGCTTTCGTCGTACTGTTGCGTCGCTTCTTTTAAATGTGTAATAATCGTTTCTATCGACATTAATTTCGGATGCATTGCTCCTTTGCGTATATATGTCAAATATTCGATTGTATGTTCCGCGTCGCGTATTAACTCTGTTATAACCGCGGTGATTATTATAAAATGTTCATTTATTTCGGCGCGTTCAGTATATACCGTTACCCGTTTTTGTAAAGTTTCTTATTTCGATCTATTATATTTTCTAATTTTTCAATGTGCGCTGTTCGGATTTGAGCAATTTTCTTATTTCTTTTGACAAACTTACAATATTTTTGGGAACATAATCTTTTATTGTGTGATAGCGATGGCGAAGAGTTATCACGCCAAGGACTTGTGAATTTAGGCAAGCATATTAAAAGAGCGCGGCGTGCGAAACATCGAACACTTGTTTGCGCGTCTTTTTTAAATAATATATACAGGGTGTCCCGCATTAGGGCATATGTGTATTAAGACTTTTTGACTTAGAATGACACAAAGAATACACAGTTTCAGTGTGGACATCACGTTGCGGGACACCCTGTATGTAATATATTTTAGATAATAAAAATTCTTACTAATACATCAGCGATGTTTTCAAAATACATCACTCAGAAATCCCATACAGCACACAAAGATTGCATACATATTGTAGCAATCTTTCACCGCAATATTGCAACTTAAAATGAACCATTTAGTATTGTTTATCGTTAACATCTTTCATGTAGAAATATTGCAAAAAATTATTTTATTATAATATTTTATTATTAAAATTATATAAAAATTGAATTTTGCAATATTTCCGAAATATTAATGTCATGTTGCTACAAGTGTGCTGGTACTTTGTGGCTCTATATTTCTGCAATGTCTTTGTAATGTTGCATTGCAATTTGCAACATTGCAATGTTGCTGCAATATAATCGCAATGATCTGTGCTGTATGGGATATTACGAATCCGAAACTTATAGAGTGCTTATTTTTTAGAATTATTTAATGAGATATAGTTATGCTATGTAATAACATAGTATTATTGTGGCAAAGAAATGTCTAGTGAAAATGTAAGAATTGGCAATGTTGCAAATATGATTCTTGAATGCATTCAAATATGATTACTGGTGATTACTGGTGATTCTCCTGAAGACTGTCCGTCTGTCTCTTCTGTAAAAGTTGCTATTTTCTTTGAATCTAAATCCTCCAAAATTGTATGAGCATAGTTGGAAGGTGGCACCTTGGAGTGTTTTGAAATATGGAATGGTGGATCATGTTTCGCACCACTGTTACAGGCCCATATGACTAGATTTGTATTTGCTGGGATCTTTGTGCCACGCCCAAACTTATAAAATATCTGACGATTGTGCAGACAAGCGTCTGCATGAACTATTTTCCATCCGCTCACATTGATTTCCGATTTCCCCATATTCTCAACTGTTACTTTAAATTCTTTCCGATCTGTTTTTAAAAAAATGTTGCTACCGCCACCCTAACAACACAAACGTTCAAAAGACGTCCAGAGGACATCCAGAGGATGTTTTACATTATTAATTTTTAATTTTTGTATAGATTTTTAATTTTTTATATTAATTTTTAAGTTTTAATTTTTCTATCAATTTTTTACATTGTATAATTCCGTGAATCTCATGTGAATTATATTTATTAAACGTTTCGGTTCGAAATTTGGACCATCTTCAGTAATTAGAGGCGGCCCCCTCCTCCATGTTTAACGTCGTGCTTAAAACTTTTAACTCGCTTCACCCGAGATTACAATTTACGTTGGAGGAAGGAGTCAATAATCGACTAAATTTCCTCGATGTCACCATTGTTACTAATAATGATGTGGTCGAGTTTGATTGGTTTCACAAACCTACTGTTGCGTTACAAAATTTAAAGGTCGTGCACAACATAGTTATATAGTATGAAAATATAGATTTAAAGCACAATGACATGGACACATGCGCACACGCATCTATCGAGCCGCATACATAGATCAGCGGTATTCAGAAAAAAACATGCGAAGTTCATGGGGTAACGGTCGCTAGGATACAGTTGGTTTTGTTATTAGCAATTGACGAGAATCCGAGAGCTCTATATAAAAAATAATCGTTGCGATCCGAGTCGTCTCCTAGGCGTAATCGCGACCCGAGTTTATCTCGAGGCATCGTTGCGATTCTAGTTTCCACCGTAAGTATCAATTCGCATCTAGCGCGGCGTAGGACTAAATTTAAGTCGATGGAAACGTTAAATTCGATGCGCACCGAAACAGAATCGGACCGATGACTTCGGTGGAAACCGCGGTCCTACGCCGCGCTAGATGCGAATTAATACTTCGGTGGAAACTAGACTACTGTTGCGATCCAGAGTCATGACTCGAGGCGTTGTCGCGATACGAGTGTGTCCGTTGTCGCATAAAATAATTTGTGAGCTCAGAGTCATTAATCGAACGTTGTCTTGCTACGATTTTAAAGGTACAATCGTTTACGAACACGAATGCTGTACATCTTGTATTAAACTTTAAAATACAGTGAATATACGAAACCACAGTGTGAACGTGAGTAGCGTTGACCCTGACATCATAACATCTACATTTTCAGGGAGATATCTCAACTTTGAATCACAACATCCATTTTGTCATAAAAAAGGCACGATCATTAGTCTTGTGGACAGAGCCTTTCATTTGTCTCATCCAAGATATCATAAGAAAAACTTTGAGTTCGTAATCAACACCCTATTGGAAAACGGATATCCGTTGACTTTGATTTTTAATGTAATCAACGAGCGCTTAAAGAAACTTTTTTTAAAAAATCATGACAATCATTCTAACTCTCATAACAATGACATAAACAATGACAAAAAATGCTCCTATTTTAATATTCCATGCGTGGCTGGTGTCGCAGATCAATTTAAACTTGTGACAAAAAACTCAAATATTAAACTTTCATACACAGGGATTAATAATCTTAAACGTTTTATAAAAGTACATAAGGACAAACTAGTCACAGAATCACGTAACAATGTAGTATATAAAATTTCCTGTAAAGACTGCGATGCATCGTACGTCAGACAAATTTGCAGACTTTTAAAAACCAGAATTAACGAACATTACCGCCATATATATCGTAATACACAACAACATTAGGTGATTACGGATCATAGACAATTAAGCCACGAATTTAATTGGACTAAAATTGATATCTTGGATGACGAATCGATTTTAGGGAAAAGATTGATATCTGAAATGATCTAGTAATTTTTTAAAATCCGTTTTAATCGACCATTTTCGGCAGGGAAGATACGTACGCGCCACCGCCGCGTAACCTGCATATTCTAGTAATATGCCAAAACTTACGCCATTTAAAAAGTCGCCATGCACATGGAGCATATTTCGTAAAATTTTGCGTAAAGCGTAACAAGCTTAACCAATAAGAGATCAGGCCTTCTGTTGTACAACAGAGCAGAAATACTAAATGGATTCTCGATTGGTTGTTATTATTTAGATGTATTGCTAAATACGCGCCATGAAAATGGGGTACTTTGCATGTATGAATGTGTGGAAGCGCAATGTATGTAGTCGTATGCATGGTTAAGATTGCAATAAATAATAGCATAATCTGTTGTTAAACTCGGAGTCGTTACATTTAATCTTTTTCGTTGCCTACTGGAAATTTTGAAGGTAAAGAAGGTAATTTTTTCATTATTTTTGTCACGTGCATTTAGTCCCTCTGCCCTAAAAGAACCTAAATTATTTATTTTTTAAATCTTTATTAGATTATAAGTATATTTGAAATACTCGTTTTTCGAGAGTTCATGGGATCTCTTGAATATGGATTCTAATCACATATTAGCGATTATTGGCATACGATTGCAGAAGTGGAGGAAGACAAAACAAACGCTTCAACGCCGGAAAGTTGGAAAACGGAATATATTGGAACTCATTGCACTATGGAAACTTCTAGTGAAGCGTGAAGAAGAACATAGTCAGAGAATATGGGTTCGCCCAATATTCACACAATTGCGAAGACATATGCAAGGAGCCAGTGACAATTTGGTCAAAGAAATGGAGCTACAAGACTTGGAAATGTTCTACAATTACTGTAGAATGTGTATAGAAATGTTTGATCAATTGCTGAATATTGTTGGGCTTCTCCTTGAAAAACAGATTGTTGTTCGAGATCCAATACCGGCACGTGCACGGCTTCTAGTATGTTTGCGTTACTTAGCCTCCGGTGACAGTATGGCCTCAATATCTTATGCATTTAGGATTGGAATAAGCACTGTTCCAAAAATAGTATCTGAGACATGCGAGGTATTGTGGAATTCTCTCCACGAATCTGTAATGCCACCGACAAACGAAGAGAGTTGGTTGAGAATCGCGGATAAGTTTGAGGAAAAATGGAATTTCCCGCATTGTATATGTGCGATAGATGGGAAGCACGTTGTGATTCAGGTGAGTTCTTTTTTAGAATTTATTTTCTATTAATTTGTATTGAGAAGTGCTAAAAGATTAATCTCTGACAATTAAACTTTTCTGTTTGTCTTGCCAATATGCTATTATATTGTGCACGCCAGATCTTGCTCAGTTCGTGCCGACAATCTGATGCTAGTCTGTCAGTCATGTCAGCAAGCTTTGCTCGGTTTCCACCGCCAATTTACTGTCGGGTTATGTCGGCAACCTTTGCTCAATTTTTGCCGTCAATCTGCCAGCTTAATCGGTAATAACAACTTTTGTACCCAATTCGTAGCCTTTTTGCTGATAATAATTTGTAGCAGGCCTTGCCAAAATCTGTTAGAACAGACTTGGCTAACTGGGTAATAATATACTTTTGAATCTATCATATTTCCATGAAAATAATAATGCTAAAACGTTAGCAAATCCTAAAGTAATTGTTACAGCTAATATCTTGTATATTCATTAATAAAAGAAGTTCAGTTAAATGTATATTTATTCAACAGTTAACATTTTAAAATATACATCATATATTATTATACTTGATGCGTACACACCCATAACACTATATTCAGCGCTTAACTAATCTCACGCGTTCGTTTGTACTTTTATAGTAATGTGTCTGCAAGCAAAATCACATTTTAAGTTGACGTACAATTACAATCTTTGGTCCACTTTAAGAAAAAACAAACTTTCTACAGTAGATTAAAACATTAAAGTTTTACCGTATTTATAAAGTCCCAAAGATGCTTTCTGTAGAATAAAAAAATAAACATATAATATCAAAGTATACAAAACTAAAAACAAAACTGGAGTTTCGAACGATTATGTAATGCAGTCTTATGACTCTTTAAAGAAAAAAAGCAACCATTGTGCGGAAATTAAAGAAAATGATAAAAATGGTGTATGGTCACTTCAGTATTTGTTTCTTTTCGATATTAATGACATGTATCACAGAAAAGCATAAAAACTAGAAAATAAAGGAATCATCATCATATGTTCCATCTGCATAATGATGCTTAGTATAAATGACCATCATGCCATAGTCTACGAAGACTACAAAAATAAATCTTATCGTATTGAATATCTTAGAATCGTTCAGGAATCTCATAAGTTCATAATATTGAAACCTTGACTTATTCTCGGTAATGGCATTAGCAGCAGTACCTGCCGATCTGCTGGGTACGTACGCCCGAACCTTTTTGCGGGCTTTTATGTAGTTGTCTCGTAGATATTTCCATCGAGCCTTAGCCTCTTCTAAACTGAGAGATCCTTGAAAAATAATTTGATTTTAAAGCTCATTTACTATAAACGACAAAATAAGAGTAAGGTCCTTTTACAGATGATGAAATGTACCTCCTAATATATTTGAAACTTCCACCCACAATGCATTTTTGCGCAACATGGTTCTCTCCGAAGCAGGTACACGAAAGTCGTAAAGCCCAGGACGGCCCTGCGTAACGCGAAAGCGCCACAGGTGGCACGATAGCGATTTATCGCGCCGGCGTGTCTCCTGCAGGACTCTCGCTCGGCACTGTTCGGCGAGCTATCCGGTAGGACGCAGGTTTCCTGAAGCGAGCGATATCGAAGCAAAAACTGCGACGAAGAACCCGAAATCTTCCAGCCGGTAGGACGAGCGTCGCCAGCCAGATTGTGTTGCCGTTAATTTGTAGGTAATTAATTCGGATGAGTCGCGCCCTAATAGTTGTCGAGCCCCGCGTTTTGGTAAATTAACTTTGTGAATATTTTTGGTAGATTGAGTCGCACGGCCGACAGGCACACGTCGCTCATCCGAATTATATAAAATAGGCTCTGTCATCCGAGTAATATACGTGGCGTATTTCAAGCAAAGGTCGTCGTCAGTGATGCCAGAAACGGGTCGTCGTTATTATTATTGAGGCACATTCCAGCACCACGAGCTGTGTTAAAAGACCGATTCGAGTCGGATCACCGGGAAATTTATATTATATTGAAGCGGATTCACGGGCGTAAAGTAGTTACCGGCGCATTCAAGAAATTTCTTTAGTTGTCGCGGCCTAATTAAGTCTCGTACGGCGGAAATCCTCGCGGCCGAAAAGTCGAGTTAAAAGCGTGTAAGACGCCTGGTAATTTGATACTGTTGCGCACGGTCGTGTTGATCTCCGCGGAAATTAGATAATATGACATTTTATTCGTCTGTAGAATAACCATTGTCGTCCACGATTATTACTTCTGTGAACTGCTGTATACTCTTGTTTCATTTAATGTATTATTATTGTTATCCTTATTTTTAACTTATCGAATGCTCATTTTTGCTCCCGTGTTCTCGATTCTTAAGATCTCGTCCGTTTCCCCCCGAACCGCCCCCTCTACCATTTCGAGTATATTGAGTAGCCTCGGAATTTTGCCGTCGCGTTAATTATCGGTCTCGAAATTGTCTCTCAGCATTACTATTATCGTGAATGGTGCGGCCTGTCGTACCTGGCGCCCAACTCGGTTTTTTGGTGATATATGGACTTTTTCGGGATATCGGGATCGATATTCGAGATACGCGCCGAAGGTGTGCCGTGAGCACCGAAAACCGCCCGCCGAATAAATAATTATTATTTAAATAATTTAAAAGAAATTACGGTTACAATGTATACATTGTTGTACATATAACCGTTATTATATATTATAATACATATATATGTATTGTGCCATTGTATGTATGTATATATGTATGTTGCGACGAATTTTCCTACCGACCTGAGGCTGAGCGATAAACGCGGCTGCCGACTCGTTCTCTCCGTCGCGCGGGTGTAAATTGCGCCGACGTAAGGCAACAAGTGGCTGTACACGGCCCTGAAAAGAGAAACCTTTACTTGCGCACAATACAATTGGACACGTTGCAATTGCACACTGTGATATTAGACACATAAAGTTGCGCACCGTTCGATTGGACACATTTTAATTGCGCACAATTCGTTTGGACACATTTCATTTGCGCACAGTTCAATTGGACACGTTGTTTTTGGACACAACACATACTTTTGTATAATTTGGAATACATACACACGCATGTATGCATGTATAATTTTGAAATTTTTTGACATTTATTATTAACTTTATTTGGTAAATAAACGTTTGTTACAGTTCGTTTACACACAGTTCATTTGCACACAGTTTTTTTGCACACAGTTCTTTTGCGCACAGTTCTTTTGCACACATTTCTTCTGCGCACAGTTCTTTTGCGCACATTTCTTTTGCACACAGTTCGTTTGCACACTTTCCCATCCACACAACAATTATAGGGATCTCGTTTCGCGTTGTAAAGTATATGCGTGG